GCTGTCCACACTGCCTATAGCAGTGCAGACGTGAACTCATGCAGGGCAGAGAAGCAAAGGGAAAAACAAAAAGATTCCCCATCCTCCCTTGATGTCCCTTCCCTGTTATCTGGCCAGAAGATGGGTATCTTTAGGGGTCTAAGAAGAAAAACACAGGCATTACCCACACAACCACATAATCTTTCTTTAGTGTTAATGCTCCTTCTCAATCTATTCTTACTTTTCAGAGTCTTATGGTTTTTTTTTTTTTATAAGTGGACTGTTAGTGAAATTAAGTACATTCTGATAGTTGCACAGCCATGACCACCACACCATCTCCAAGATCTTCTATCTTGCAAATTAAACTCTATACTTTATATCAATAACTCTCATTCTTTTCCCCTATTTCTCTGGCAACTTCTATCTACAGAATTTGACCACTCTAAGTACTCATGTAATGAGATAATACAGTATTGTTTTTTTTTTGTGACTGGTTTATTTACTTAGCCATGTCCTCAGAGTTCATCTATGTTGTAGAATATAAAATTCTTCCTATTTAAGGCTGAGTAATATTCCATCATATGTGTGTACTTACATTTAGTTTATCCATTCATCTATCAGTGGACACTTGAGTGCTTCCATATTTAGCTAGTGTGAATAATGCTGCTATCAATATGGGTATACAATATCTCTTTGTGCTTTTAATCTCTTTGGGTATATGCCGCAAGTGAAATTGCTGGTCATAATGTATTTAATTTTTTTTTTGAGGATCAATGTATTGTTTTCCATGGTGGCTCTACCATTTACATCTCTACCAACAGTATACAAGGATTCAATTCTGTACTTTTTGCCAACAGTGTCATTTTCTGTTGTTTTATAGCAGCTATCTAATGGATATGAGATGGAGTGGTTGTTTTTATATTGCTAGAGTTTATCATACTAATAATCCGTAGATACATAGCTGTATTGGCTTACTCTATCTCCCTTGAACTGATGTCATCAATTTCATTAGGCATTTTTATCAGCCCTATTTCCTCTTGTATGTTTTGTGTACTTTCGCTTTTTTTCTTTCTTTGAGTAAGTTAATATTACCTACTGGTCTATGTACAGCTTTTTCTCTTTTGAGCTGTATATTCAGTTTGCTTTTAACTACTTATTGAGTTCTTAATTTAGTCTTGCATTTTTATTATAGGATTTCTATTTTATCTATTCATAGCTTTCAATTCTGTGGTGCAATGATCTGCCATATATTTTTTTTCATGAATCATAATTATTTTAAGTATCTAACTGATACCCAACATTTGAGTACTTGTGGTTCTGTTCCTTTTGTATCATTTAACATTCGTCCTATTACTTGGTTATGCCTGGTATTTTTTGATTACTAATATTGTATTTACAAAGTAAGCTGAAGAGTGTCTGAAGATATTTTATTATTATTTTACACAGAGTCTTGCTCTGTTGCTGGGAGAGAGTGCCATGCAGTCAGACTAGCTCATAGCAACCCAAAGTCTGCACTCAGGAGATCCTCCTGCCTCAGCCTCCCCGATACTGGACTACAGGCATGACACCACACCTGGCTAATTTTTTCTATTTTAGTACAATGTCTCACTCGCCTCGAGCTGTCTAAAATCTGGATAAATCCGCTGTGCGTCCTAGTGCTATCACAAATGACCAGCTGGTGGCCAGTGGTGATTGATGTTCCCCTTATCTCCTCTCCGGAAGAGTGTATGTATGTATATACACTTATCTACACACATAACACACACACAACACACACACACACACACACACACACACATACTCCTACACAAATCCCTGAAAAGGATTCAAATGTTCTCTCTCAGATTTAAAGGCCATTCCCTAATTCAAATTACATTCAACACCACTATGATCTCTCTTCTGCTATTAGTAATTTGTACTACACTTACACTGAATGTTATAAGAATCAAAATTAATAAATTACATAGTAATTCCTAACTCAAAGTAAATGAAATAATCCAATTAACATGTCACTGACAATTATAATAGTGCCTATGTGGATGAAAAAAGAGCAAATTTGGAGTTTTTCAAATAAATTTTTTCCTCCTCCGCCAGTGTCTAGATAAAAACATACTTCATAAGTAAAACAACAAACAAAACAAAAACTACAACTACATACATGATTACAGCTATCTATTCAACCAATACTAAACAGATTCATTTGAAAGGTCTTAACTTAGTATCCTCCTTCCTATTCTACCAAATATGTGTTGCTCATTGTTGGAGTGAATTCTGCTTTTAACACCTCTTGCAGTCTCTTATTTTTTGTAAAATTTCTTTTGTAACAACCTCCGTGTTCAAATTAATGGCTGGAATATAAAAAAGAGACCAAGATATTCCCTTTTCTTTCTTTTTTTAAAGGACAGCATCTGTGTACCCAGTCTGGAATGCAGTGCCTATGGGTATGCTCACACGACAGCCTCAAACTCCTGGGCTCAAGCAATCCTCCTGCCTCAGCCTCCTGAGTAGCTGGGGGCCACAGGCTCATACCACCACACCTGGCAAGATTTCTTTTAAAAATTGAGATGAGCCACTTTGAGAATCTGCAATGCATAAAAGGGTGGACAAAAATGACCCTTTTGCAAATTCTGCTTTTAAAAATTTGCTCAAGCACTGAAGGAATAATTAACAAAAGCAAAGTTTACATTTTACAATCACCGAAACAACATTAAATGTATTCATACATTCAACTAAAAAGAGAGAGAGGGACGAGTATAAAAAATAACCCACCTTCTCATACTCCAAATATGTGAGCACTCAGTTATGAAGTTATATTAACAAAGAAAAGCAAGTTCTCACTTGAGTACTGAGAAAAACCAAGTAATCCTGAGATAAATTCTGATGGGCGATAAAGACAAAACTGAGATTGCATTCTATAGCCCAAAGTGGTATGCAATTACTGGCAATAACTGCTATCAGTCACAAGGTAAAGAGGCCTACAAGTGTGCACTGAGTTATTCCCAAACCATTCACCCTTCCCCACCCATCTCTGCACCAAAGCACCAAAAATTTGAATATAAACTATTACTTATTGAAAACCACTTAAATTGCAATGAAAAACATTTTTAAATCTTTACCAAAACAGAGAAAGAAAAAAAAAAACGCTCACCAAGCCCACAATATAGCTTTCAAGATATTTAGATAAAACTCTAACCTATTGTATCTTAAGCACATAATAAGGCACATAATAAGAAATTAAGTAAATACACAGTAATTCTGAATAAGTATTAGAGATTATAGTGGTACAAAAAACCCTTGAGATTAATTTTTTTCTAAAAGAAGACCTTACCAAAAATAACTTTTAAAAAATCTGTCACAACCATATGATAGACCTGAATATTTTCCTAAGACTGTAAACTTTTTTTCTGAAAACAATTATAAAAAGTAGTTTATATGTAGGATTATTTTCTTCAAAATTTCCAAGATCATATTACTTGACAAAATAATGGTTATTTGAAATTTAAAACATGATTTTCCCTAATACAATTATAAATTATTCTGACATCTTAATAGATTCTAGTTGGATTCACTTAATTTCCCTGGGACAGTTGAGACACTTCATTTTCCAAATAGTCTTGAAAAGTTAAAGATAGGCATTATTCAAAGCAGTGCTTACAGTAAAAAAAAAAGAAATCATTGCAAGAAAACATGTAGGTTTGTAAATCTGCTTCCAAATAAACTTAACATGGCAAATAATTTATAAGTGAACATAATTTCCTACAGGGGTCAAACTTCTGAATCATAAGGTTAATAAACTTTGTTGTGATTTAAATTACTACATTAAATAATTTTAAAAGTCTATATGTTCAAATTTTTCAAATTACAAAGGAGTTTAGAAATGTTGTATAAGGCTGATCTGGACCCAAACTAAAAAAAAGTTCATTTTCTTGAAATCTATAATATAGGGGATTAAATTATTGAAAAAATATTTTTCCTGATTTTTTTTCCTGAAGGTTATTTTCATAGAGACCATGGTACAAAGAAAAAACAAACCTTTGATCACATACTGGCAGGGAAAAATAGAAAAAAGAACATCCTTTGATTTTTTTAAATATACTTGAATATCAAATTCAGAAAGTTATTTTTGTGAAAGAGGCAGAATTGGTCTTGAGCTGCTTCAGTCTATGTCTGAAGGTTTTACTGAAATTATGGTCCAGTTTTAGGAGAAAATTTCACGGAAAAGTCAGATTGTAGATTTTGAGAAAGAAACTCTGAGGTGGTGATTTTCTCCAAGATCATGGTTATGAAGATCAATGAGGGCCTGGATTGCTTCTTCCACAGATCCCAATTGAATGAGTGCCATTTTGCGATCTTTCTGAAAGAATTTAAAAGCCTTCACTGAACATCCAGCATCTATGAAAAGGTTCTTCAGATCATCCACTGTAACAGAAGGGGGGAATGTTGGAAAGATGCAAGGTGGCTGATGGTGGAAAGATATTCTGGAAGTTTTTAGAGCCAGGCTTTTTAAAGCGATGCAAAGGACTATTGCTGAAATCTTTAGTCAGACCTTGGTCTTCTTGTCCTTCTCGAGGAAGCTGAACTGCTTGATGTTTGGACAGTGTAGCACGAAGCACTTTTCCATAAAGTCTCTGACCACTTAGATGGTTCATTGCTAGCTGAGCCTGATTTGCATCTGCCATCTGAACCAAGGCATTTTCTTTTTTATTAAACATAATCTTCACTCGATGAACATCACCATACACTCCAAATAGGATAAAAAGCCCATGTGGTGTGATAAGGTCAGGATTGAGATTGGTGACAAGTAGAACAGAATTTCCTGGTATACCACTAGCCCCAGGAATGGCCATCCTTCCAGTGACAGCAGAGGAGGTGATTGTGAGAGGACCAAGAGCTCCAGGAACAGCTGGAACTGACAGACCTGTAGCTTGAGGAAATCCAATGGCTGGGGCAAATCCAGCAGCCCCTGCATATGGTGAAGAAATTATACCTGGTGCACCAAAAGCAGCAGCCATAGGGGGTTCAAGGGATGGCTGGCTATCACCAGTAGGAAGGTCTAAACGAGTGAAGTCTCTGCTTTTGTCATTATTATATTTCACATTAAGGCTGGTGAGCTTGGAGAAGTCAATACGCAGAGTGCAGCATCCATTATAGATATTCTGGCCATCCAGAGCCATTTTGGCATACTGTGCATTCACTGGGTCAGCATACTGAAGCAAGGCTTGAAACTGATTATTCTTTGTAAAGGTGATAATCTTCAAGACTGTGCCAAATTTAGAAAATATCTGATGAAGAACTTCCAGAGTAACAGGGTAAAAGAGGTTTTCGATAATTATTCGGAGCACAGGACTCTGCCCAGGTAGGATTGTTCCTTCACTGGAAGGAGCTCCAGGAAGGGCCAGGCTTCCTGACTGGACAGCACTGACAGCCTGCAGTGCAGCTTGGGCTCTAGCTTGATTAGGTAGATTGTCAGTCTTAAGTTCTCTGTGATTGGAATACTGAATATAAACAGGCTGGCTTCGAAGGTGAGGAGTAAAAGGAGTGTAATAATTCACCATAGTAACAGCAGCTTCCTCAGAAGCCATTTCTAAGAAAGCCTGGCTTTTTCCTTTCAACATCAAAAGATTAGTTACTTTGCCAAATGGTAGACCTAATGATATGACCTCTGCTTCGGTGACATCACATGGAATTTTGCGAAGATGGAGAACACGAGAAGGCGAACAGGGAGGTCTATCTCCTTTAAATTTCTTGTTGTCATTCCCATTAGCTGTAGAAGTAGTAGAATTGTTCATGGTAAAAGGTCCGTTAACGATGCCAGAAGAAAGAAGCTCATCAGATCCCCGCCATCCATGGCCCAGATGGAGAAGCGCACAGTACCGGCACTGACGGGCTCACCGCGAGCGGAGGGTGCGGGTGGCGGCAGCAGGGCGGCTCCGGGGACCGGCGAGCGGCGCCTCTCCCGAGCCCCGGCGGGTCGGAGGTGGAGAGAGAGTGGGAAACAGGGGCGGGGACCGGGCACGCTCCCGCCACCGCCGCGCCCCCGCCTTCTGTGCTGGTGATTTTTAAATATTTTGTAATGAAAATCAGGAGATATGTATGACTTATGTTTGCACCCTGGCATTTGTTCTCATAAAAAAATGCAGAATTGGCTTTGGATTACATAGGAATGCTCTTTTTAAAATTGCTAGCTCCCTCATGCTGGGAATTAGAAAGTGTTCTCAATCCTCTTTATACTGTGTTTTCTAGTCCTTTGACTTCATTGAGATCAATTTCTCTCTCCATCATGCCTGGACCACCCACTGTACCTTGGGTGTAGGCAATGGTTAATGGGGTCTTATTAAGCCTTGGAATTCTTTGACACTTTAACAAAAAGCCACAGCAAGCTGTAATTCTAACAAATGACTATCATAGAACTTGAGAGAAAGGAATGCTCTTTTCCTGCCAGACTTTCTATCTGACCTTGATTTTTCTTCTCTTTGTTCTGGCACCAGTGGGTGGTTTAGGATTGCCCCAATGTAACATTGTCATATAGTGAGTGTTTGATTTTCTAAATCTTTAGAGCATGATTCTACTGTTTATCATGTTAATATTTTCTCATCAGACAAAGCCACTTACATTTAACAAATACTGAGCATGTATTATCTGCCAGGCGCTGAGATTAAAACAATAACGAGTGATATTAATGCACTGAATCTGGGTTGTACTTAAAAGAATAAAATGTGAACATTCTACCCTGTGTAATAAAAATGGACAGAGATCCTAGGAATGGAGGTCATCACGAGCAGTATTTAAAGCTGAGATCCAATCAACCTCTTTCTCAGTGACAGACTATCCGCAGCCTCAGCCAATGCTCAGAAACAATTCTGCTGAAAAACTTTGTACATTTTCTATAGGAGCAACTTTCTCATCACCCTCTCTCTTTTCCAGAGGTTAACTCGGAATATTTAAAGACTTGGGATATGAGCAAGTGCTATAGTATATGGTAGTATAAAAATTTGGAAAAAAAGTACGTTTAGTTCTGTGAGAGTTAAAGATTAAAGTATTAGTTTTAGCAGTAGGAGTAAAACTTCTCAACTTACCTGGGGGTCCTTGGAAGCCAAAGTCATTTATTTCATGGCTTCAGAGGCAGGAAGAACTTCCAGCAGTGCTATGTGGCCAGCATCTTCACAACCATGGGTGACACTGTTGTCTAAAAGAAAGGCAAAATCTGTATTACTGGGAAGTAGAAAACCTCTCTGCAGAGGAAAGAGCTGTTAGGTGCAGTCTTTGTGTAGGTGGGAAAATACAACAGAGCAAGGAATGCTGATCACATAACTAAAGAGCAAGTTAGCTACCGTTTTGACCTAAAACACTTACCACATTTAAAAGGATAAACTATTAAGTATTATCACAAGCAGTGTAGCTTTTTATCAGACTATCTCACAATAATTTAAAGGCCTAAGACTGTGATATTTGTATTTTGATTTTAAGAAAAAGACAAGCAAACTCGGAGGTTAGAGTGACTGTTCAGAGATAGGAGGGCACTAAAATTTGTAATGAGGGACTGTAGCATTCTTGGCAGAATCGACAGCAATGATGAATTGTTTGTTGTCTGTGGATAACTAATTATTAAGAAGGTTGAACATGACTGGATGTGTTGTGGCTATCTGAACTTGTGGTTTCTCATCCAGCATGTAACATGCTTAGAAGTCATCACACCCATCTACACAACAAGAAAAAACCTGAATAAACCCCAAATCAAGAACTCTTATGAGATTTACCAAAGAACTGAAGTCAAAGGACAAATCACTGCCTCCCAAATTGGAGAGGCAAGCAGGCAGACACAGAGTATTACAACCTACTGGAGCAGAACCCTTTGTGGGAATCAGTAATGGGGTAGGAAAGTCTAAACTGTAATTGGCAAATTGCTGGAGGCTCAGTGTGGACAAGTTTGAGTATTAAAAATTCCAGCGGGACCCACATTTTTGTTTTACTTTTAGGAGCCCTACCACGCTCTCACGGTGGAGATTGGAGCAAAATTCCTTTGCGATTCTGGTTGGTGGAGGGGGAAGTAGTCATTTTGAAGTACACATAAAGCATTCTGTTCTTCTTAACAAGGCCTGTCTTTGTGAGAAACCATTTTTCCAGAGCCCAATAGGCTGGGGTTTTACCAGAGCATAACTGACTTGGGGAAGGGAAATACCCAACTTCAGCCCCCTTTAGGCTTCCTGTCTCAGCTAAGGAGGGAGGAAGAAAACCTCAGAGCACTTGTGAAGGTCGCGGTGCAGGGGCACAGTCTCACTAGAAGACAGGTTAACTCACAGAACTATCGTGCGCTGCCCTTCCCACAACACCTTGCCATCGCTTCAGTAGGGTTCCTATAAAATAACAGGGGACTACAACTAAAAGAACTGCACATCTGAGACCTTATTGAAGGAGAAGTCACTAGGAAGCCCCAAAGATAGCAGGGGAGATAAAAATAAGGACTCCAGAGGAAATATTAGCCTCTGACACCTCACAGATACAGCAAACGATAATATAGCCTAACCCTTAGCCAGATAAAACCTTATGCTAATGACCTTTTAACCTAAATTCCTGTGCCCAGTTAATCATGTTTGTATTTCAACAACAACAAAAAATTACAAGGCACACTGAAAGACAAAAACTACACTTTGAAGACACAGAGTAAGCATCAGAATCAGACTCAGACGTGACAGAGATGTTAGAATTATCAGACCTGGAATTTAAAACAGCTATGATTAATCTGCTAAAGACACTAATGCAAAAAGTGAACAACTTGTAAGAATATTTGGGTAATGTAGGCATACAGATGGAAATTCAAAGAAAGAATAAAAAATAAATGCTAAAAATCAGCAACACTGGAATAGAAATAAAGAGTGCTTTTTGATGGGTCCATCAATGGACTGGACATAATTGAGGAAAAAAAAATCAGTGAGCCTGAAGAAATGTCAATAGAAACTTCAAAAACTGAAATGCGAAGAGAAAAGAATGAAAAAGAACAGAATATCCAAAAATTGTAGAACAATTACAAAAGGTGCAACACACAAATAATGGGAATATCAGAAGGGGAAAAATGAGAAAAAAGCAGAAGAATGTTTGAAGCAATAATGACTGAGAAATTTTCACAATTAATGATAGACACAAAACCACAGATCTAGGCAGCTCAGAGAACACCAAGCAGAATAAATACCAAAAATCTATGCTGTGCATGTCATAGTCAAACTACAGAAAAGCAAAGACAAGGAAAATATCTTGACAGAAGCAAGAGGAAAAACAATCTTATTTATAGAGGAACAAGGATAAAAATTACATTTAATATCTTTTCAGAAACTATGCTAGCAAATAGAGAGTGAGCGAAATATTTAAAGTGTTGAAAGACAAGCATTATCAACCTCAAATTCTGTATCCTTACAAAGTGAATTAGAAATACTTTCTGGCCAGGCATGGTGGCTCACGCCTGTAAGCCTAGCTCTGGGAGGCCGAGGTGGGCGGATTGCTAGAGGTCAGGAGTTCGAAACCATTCTGAGCAAGAGCAAGACCCCGTCTCTACTATAAATAGAAAGAAATTAATTGGCCAACTAATATTTATAGAAAAAATTAGCTGGGCATGGTGGCACATGCCTGTAGTCCCAGCTACTCGGGAGGCTGAGGCAGAAGGATTGCTTGAGCCCAGGAGTTTGAGGTTGCTGTGAGCTAGGCTGACGCCACGGTACTCACTCTACCCTGGGCAACAAAGCAAGACTCTGTCTCAAAAATAAAATACTTTTGTAGACAAACAAAAATTGAGGTCATTTTTTGCCAGTACACTTGTCTTACAAGAAATGTTAAATTCTTCAGAAAAAAGGAAAGTAATAGAGGTCAGAAACTTGGAGCTACAAAACAAAACAAAACAAAACAACTAGAAAAGAGGAGCATTAGAAAAGAAATAAATACAGGTAAGAGAAAATCTTTAATTTTTCTTATTCTCAATTCATTTCACAGGTAAATTTGCTCATCTTCATTCCTGAAAGTTATTTTCCCTGGATATAGAATTCTGGGTTGACAGTTTTCATCAGCACTTTAAAAATGTTGTTTGTTTTTTGACCTCTTGAAAAATATGTTTCATTTGAATACTTGCTTGTCTATATTTTCTTCTCCCTACTTTTGATATTATTTTGTGTTTGATTTTCAGCAGTTTGAGTATGATGTGTCTGCAAATGTATATATTTCATGTATTTTTTGGTGTTTTCTAAGATTCTTAAACCTATGAATTTAAGTCTTTCACCAAACTTTTGAAGTTTAGGGCCAATATTTCTTTAAAATTTTTGTCTGTGTCATGTCTGTCTTCTCTTTTTTCTAATAGTCCAATGGTTTGTGTCTTTTGACATATTCTCAGAGGTTCCTGAAGCTCTGCTTATTTTTTGTCTTTTTTCCCATTTTATTGAGTAATTTCTATTGATCTGTCTTCAAGTTCACTGATTCTTTTTTCTGTGCCTCCATTCTGTTGTTGGGGCAATCCAGTGATTTATTTTCTTTTTATTTCAGATATTGAAATTTTGAATTTTCAAATTTCCATGGGATTCTTTTGTTATACCCTCTATTTCTCTCCTGAGGATTTATTTTTCTATTAGTTTCTAGGAGGATCACTTTTACCTGATGGAATATAACTATAATAGCCACTTAAAGTCTTTAATAATTTCAACTTATGTTTTATATCAGAGTTGGCAGCAGTTCATTGTCTGTTCCTTAAGGATTGGCCAGATATTTCTGCTTCTTGGTATATCGAATAATTTTGGTTTGTATGTTGGACATATTCAATATTATATTGTAAGATTATGAATCTTATTAAAATACTTTGGAGAAGATTGGTTTTTGTTTTGTTTTGTTTTAGTAAGTGATCAACCCAGTTAGGTTCGGATTACAAGTTTCGTCTTACCATCTGTGATGGTGTTTTTAGTGTCAATTTAGTTCTGAAAGCCTTTGCCATTTTCTTTGGGT